ACATGTTGAAAAAAACATGAGAGAACGGTTATATGGATATTGAGATGAATAGATGAAATCAGTGCCATCAATGATTGACCTCAGTTTCAGAAATGGTAATAATGACGAGCTATATGATCTAAAAAGCCACATTTAAAACACCGTTGAAATGGTTGTTGTTGTTGTTTGAAATTATTATTTCGATGTATATTATCATTAAGCAATGGTGGTGTGAAATGCGTTGATAATTTAACATTATGTACTTGACGAGATGAATGAGGAAGTTGAAGTTGTTCATATAAATTATAAGAAGATGATTTAGAAATTCTATTCAAATAATGTTGTAGATCAATATCATTAGATGAATAATGATGTTTATGTTAATAATAATCATCATTGTAATCTCGATAATAAGCTTTTAAAATATTTGTGGATGTTGCACTAGTTGTTGAATCCGAAAAAAGAGGTAGATATTATTAAATCTTCATCAATCATAGAACCGGAGTAAAGGTGGCATTTAATACCGTAAAGTCTTCAGCAGTTTTCATTTGTTGTAATAAATTTTATACAGGTTTTGGATAACTTGTTCAGGTTTCAGTAGAAAAAGATGGACGAAGGCTGATCATAAGATAGTGGACTTCTGTAGATTAATTTATGTGTGAATCAGCTTGTTGCATTAACTTGATCATTTCAGTAAAATGTCGAGTACCAGATTGATGAACTGTTTGTCGATATTGTTTTAATTTTTTACATGCTAAATCATGTTATAAATTTGATGCAAATGATTTTTTTAAATTTCATTAATAAGTATAAATCAAGTTATGAATTGTGCGTGATGTTATTGTTAAGATAGATGTAGTTCTCCTTCAAAACATGTATCAATGAAATTTAATTTATCTAAATCATATTGATTCAGGATTTTAAATTGCTTTTCAAATTCATCAAGCCATGTAAAAGCATTATTTTTTCACCGCAAAATTTTATTGGATCCTTAACGAATATATCAATTAATGTTTTATATATAGCTGGTAATAAGACAGAATTCAATAAGTATTATTTGAATCAGATGATGCCATATTATTACAGGCAATTGATGTTGTTTTGTCATTTGAAAAAGTTATAGAATTATTTTCTAAATTATCATTAACAACAATAAGTGAATGTAATGCTGAAGACTTCTTTTCTTCTCCATAAAAACACCACGATAAGGTTATTCTCATAATTTAAATTATTCGATTCATGTAATTTATGATCAATAATTAATATTTTTAATAATGATGATGACGATTGTAACAATTTGGTAATTCATTCTTACAGTCATTCCATGTAAAAGCACTATGTCGTTCAAAATTTGTAAACCATGTTTGTAACCTACCACCTAATTTCCTATCTACTTTAATAATACGAATATTATCACAATATTTTAATTGATAAAAAATATCTTCAGTTTAAAATAAAAATTCATGAACATTAGGTTCCTGTGGTAATTTAAAAACATGAATTTTCGATACAAATCTGTTTCCCAATTCAAATGTTTACGTTGAATTTCTTCTAGTTAGAAAATATAATCAGTTTCAGAAATAATTACAATTAATTGAGAAGCTGTATGTTACCTATTTGAGGCAGATGAATAAAATGATGCTGTAGATACAGATAATTCTTGTTTAAAGAAGATGAAATAGAAGACTGTTCTAATTGGGATTTCGATGTAACTTTTGCTGGTCTTCAACATTTATGTGAATATTGAAGATCAGTAACAGATAAGTCAGTTAATTTCAGTGTGTAAAGTATTTTGACCAAAACTTAATATTCATAATGGAAAAGGTAAAGCATGTGTGTATTTTTTTATGCCACGTGCCGCCACTTCTTAAAGATGATTCATACTTCTTTTATTTTTCGATTCAAAAGAAGCATGCATACACGCATGCGTAATAATAACATAATCATATAATCGACAATGAAAAGGAAATACATATGTTTATACAGCCACAGAGAATAAGAAAAAAAGAGAAAGAAAGGCATATGATAACGATAACGAAAATGTATGGTCGTGCGTGTTAACACGGATCATAATAATAACAGTATGACTGTGTTTCGTCTCTTTTTCAGAATTCTTTTTTACATTTGTAAAAGTAGTGTATCGATGAAGTTAATTCCGTCGTGAAAATCCCTTGTAATTCGTTGTTAGCGAACAGTAAGTCTGTTTTTCTTTCAACAGATGGTGCTCGAAATAAGGTGTCGGAAATGCAAAATTAAAGCAGAATATTTTTTTTTCTTTTTTTTTGTATATGGCTAGATAGAATCTAAGGACCTGATCAAGAATATGAGTGTTTCACTTTTTTCGAAAAGAGATTTTACAGGAAAATGTTCAGATTTTTATAATGACGCCTTTTCTTAATAAAAATTTCGTCATTTTTTTTGTTTCCTACGAATTTCAGAAGTGTTTGATTTCAGATTTAGTGTAAAAAACTCAATATAGACAAGTCAAATATAACTGACTTGTCTGTATTCAGTTTTTCACATCAAATTGTAAACCAAACAGTTTTGAAATTTGAAGCAAAAAAAACTTGATAATTTGTGGGTCACAAAAGATTGGTTTATTTTTGCATGAAAAGTGAGCCATCGGGAAAAACTGAAATTTTTACCTTAAAAACTCATTGCAGAAAAACGAAATCATCTATATTCTCGATCAGCTCATCGAAGTCTATCTAACCGTAATATTTAAATAGAAAAAAAATCTGCTTTAATTTTGCATCTGTGGCCTCTTATGTATTTTACTATAATCAATTAATTTTGACTGTATTTTTCATTCTCAGTAAATAACGAATATTCGAATAAAATTCTTGAGGCGTAGTTTGGTTATTACTAAACTGATCATACGTTTCTGTAGCTGAGGGTTTCAGGTAAATGAAGATTAATAGATGACTCACCTCATGACCCTATATTTTGCTACTAATATATAGTTAAAAAAACTAAAAGCAAAAGACATTTTTATACGAGCAATCGTTGCTCAAGGACATTTTCACGAAGAACAGTTATGCGCAAGCAATTATTTATGTGGACTGCAAAGCTGGAACATTATTCAAAGAGCAGTTAAGATTCAGGTCGTCAAATTAATGCGATTACAAATATAATATGTTTAGAGTATATGGTGTCGAAGAAAATCCAGTAAACTCGAAAAAAACATCTCAGCAGACCTTAGTATAACAATCTTTGCTGAAAAAACAAGCATTTTGTGTTTATTCATAGACTGTTTGTTCATGTGGGATACTGTTTTTATTTTTTCATTAATTCCAAGTTAAAATGGTTAGATCATAAGATAAATTATCATTCAAGCTGTCAACAAAACTGCAAAATAGTATTAATCAAGAGCACAATGGTAATACCTTGTCAGATATGGAAAGAAAAAGAACAAAAAAATGTGATAATGCAGCACGCTCTTTTCCATGTGCATGGAGTCTTGATAATATCAAATGGCAAAAGGATATTCAGTGAGTTTTAATATTTGCCTGCACTAGATTATATTCTGAACACCATTCCTCTTCCTTCTATGAAAAGTAGCGCTATCAATCAGTCTATGAGGATAGAGAAAATTCAGATATATTTTATTTTGAATAAGTGAATTTCGAGGCTAAAAACTTCAATATTTAAAAAATATGGTACTTTTATGAGTAACAAATGTTACAGGAGAAAACATAATCAGCAGCTCTTCCATCATAGTTTCTGGAATTTCCATGTAAAAAGACATTTTATAAAAATCGCAAAAGCATCAAAAAAGTCGAAATTTCGTCAGTTAATCTGCTTATTTTTGATTAAAATCGGTGTAAAACCATGCAAAAAATCATTTTTAATCAATGTCATGTGCTTAAAAGCGGTAGGATTTAATCTAGTTTTGTATGTTTTACATTGATTATAATCAACTTTTTCATGACTTTTAAATCAGTTCTAATAAAAAATAAGCGAAATAATCGATAAAGTTTCGATATTTTTGAATAGTTTTTGATCATAATCGATTTAGAATCAGTTTTTTGCATCATATTTTTTACATGAGTTCTCACTGAGCACCTTTCGATCTTGGCGAATGTGAGCCAATATAAATCTGTCGAAAAGTTCATAATCAATTCAAAGTATAGTTTCTCTCTGGTTATGACCTATTCCTAACTAAAGCATCATACAAAATTACATGGCTGGAAAAGATAGAGACAATCTATCTTCATTAACAAAACTATGAAATATTTGTTGAACAAGAGAATATGTAGCTTCTGCTGTTCGAAAACTTTTGATTTCAATTCTATTGTCTCTTTGTTTCTTTACTAAATAATGATATAATGAGTTTTCAGAGTCATATTGAATTTTCGATTATTTGCGATGATCTTTAGAATTTTATTGTAAATCATATAGATATAAATAAATCATAAGTATCATCATAATCGCTGATGTTAATGCATGTTTAACCACGACCATGACCACCAAGACTACTAAGTTCTTGATGGGATATGAGTATGGTCAAGCATAAATCAATATCAACAATTATGATCATATTTATGATTTATACACATCTATATGATTTACAGTAAAATTCTGAAAATGATCGTAAATGATCGAAAATTCAATATGACTCTCGACAAAAATTATACCATTATCTAATAAAGAAAAAGGAGAAAACAAATTGAAATCAAATGTTTTTGATTTAGTAACAATAAAAGTTATATATTCTGCTGTTAAACAATTATTTCATAATTTTGATAATTAAGTATCCATGTTATATAATTTCGTTTGTATTAATTATTAGCAACAAGAAACATGATTATATTCTTTTTCTATATATAGAGAAACAACTTATTGCGTAATCTCAACAATAATAATTTATAGCTTATTAGCTTGGTGGTCGTCAAACATACATTAACACCAACACTTATGATGATACTTATGATTTATTTACAACCACACAATTTACAATAAAATTTTGAAGATAATCCCAAATGATCGAAAATTCAATATGACTCTCGACAAAAATTATACCATTATTTAATAAAGAAAAAAGAGAAAACAAATTGAAATCAAACGTTTTTGATTTAGTAACAATAAAAGTTATATATTCTGCTGCTAAACAATTATTTCATAATTTTGATAATTAAAAATCCATGGTATATAATTTCGTATGTATGCTCATTAACGTTGATGTTGATTATCAATACAATGCAAATACCAAATAGAATGAAGGACGATGTAGTCTACCGTAGATAAAAATAAATTTCTTTTTCAACTGTTTATTTTTCTCTTTCTCTCTTGTATTCTTACTTATACATTTTATGTCTTTGTATAGGTAAATGGAGTTTATTGTATTTGTAGACATATATTATACTTTATTTACGTGTTATTTTGTTTTACTTTGTATTTATTTGAAAATGATTTATTTTAGTAATACTGAGAGAACAGAAACAATAATGCAAAAAAGCAAAATATGCTTCATAACCATTTTCAGCTTTAGGGTGTAGATATACTTAAACGTGTCTTCTTTTTGAAAGCCGATTGTTTTCTCTGGTGGATAAGCTTAAAAAATGGTCACCCACACTCTATTACCAATAATCGACGATGATGCAGCTCTGAACCGTGGCAGTAATCTCACTTAAAGTTGTTCTCATTCAGCAATTGGAACTCTGCATGCACACAATACCATCTCCATTACTATGATATACAAAAATACCGTGTGATGAGTATGTCTGATATTATATGTATAGATAGCATGAACAGTCATGTCAGAACTTTTAATGATGGCGTCATCCCGGTTTAGAGCTGAAAGCTTACCGACCACAGAAAACAATCAACTTTAAAAAAAAGATACGTTTAGGCATATCTATACTCTAAAAGTAAAAATAGTTAAATAGCATATTTTTCTTTTTTGCGTTATTGCTTCTGTTCTGTCAATATCACTAAAATCAGTCATTTTGAAACAAATACAAAATAACGCGTAAATAAAGTATAATATATGTACACAAACACATTTATCTCTATTACCTATACAATGACATAAAAATGTATACAAAATAATACAAAATAGAAAGAGAAAAAAATCGAAAAAGAAATATAGCTTTTTTTGTCCTTGAATAGCGCAGATTATGCATACTGTGTTACGGACATTGATGTGAACTAAATCATTAATTGTACTGTTCTTGCTAACAGAGTTGTTAAGATTAACAGTAAGCTTCACTAAATGAATAAGAAAACATAGAAGAAGATGTCTAAGCTGTAAAATCTTATACTTACATAAAAGAGCATTTTAGATTGACTTTTTGATAATATGATGCTTAGTGATATATATATATATATCTATGCATGTTTGTATGTCTAATATAACGAATAAATATTTTAGTCGATTCCTTTTCAGTATTGATTATGGTGCAAATACAAAGCTGGATGATATCCGCAATAATTATCAAGAAAATATTATTAAAGTACAAACAGTACGAGAGTAAAAAGCTGTGGTGTTGTTGTCTACAGTTTGAATTTCGTTTTCTTACTATACGTTTCCTTGATATTATTAAATTTGCGGATATTTTGAATACATCGAAAGATGAAAGTAAAGTATAATATAAGTAAACAGCTAATTTAAAGAATCTCAAACAGAATATTTCGCTAGAATTAAGTGTTGAAATATTCGTATTTTTCTCTCGATTTTGAGTCTTTATTTAAGATGCAACATCTGTGCTGCATTAAACACTATCGCATCTCCATCGATGATGTTAGTATTAATAAGCGGGAAGTTCAAGCTCCTATGGTACAGTTTCTGCGTGCACATGAATTAGCTGATACAAGCCTTCGTTTGAGCAATCTGGTCGATAATCATATAACTATAGCTAGTTCACGTTTATAAAGCGATTTGTTGTTGATTAATTACTTAATCATAGTGATAAATATGCGTGATGTGAATTTCCAAACACTGATGAAATTTTTTGGAATATTTGGTATTATTTATTAGTTATTCAAGCTAAGCACAAGATAAATCTTATTTAAATATCGGTGAAAGACTACCTGTGCATTCATCCATTAATAGTACTTTTCATTAATTTCTGGAAAGATCATCACGTCCTTTCAATAAAGAAGTATCAATACTTTTCGAATTCATGCGAACAACATTCAAGACCGCCAATGATTGTGAATTCACTAAGTAACTGTTATGTTCAAGTGCGTATGCCGAACAGTCTTTAAGATCATCGATTCACGGTATAGACCTTGAAGTAAAATATCTTAGATAATAGTACAACGTACTATTGTTAATAGGTGTTATTCTATGATGCCCACTTCTCTATACTTTTGTTATTATTTATTTTTCTCGTCCTTTTTGTTGTTTTCTTTCACCTTCACTTTTGTGTTGTTGTTGTTGTTGTTGCTACTGTTATTGTTATTGCTGTTGTTGTTGCAATTGTTATTGTTATTGCTACTGTTATTATTATTGCTGTTATTGTTGTTATTATTAATAACATTTTTCTTCTGAACTATCTGTCATCTTTTATCATCATGTAAATATTGTTCGCTGTGAATTACGATTGTTTTATTCTCTAATAAAATAAAATATCGCAAAGATTAAATTAGTGAAGTTGACTTCAATATCGTGAAGATCAGTTACGATAGGTCGTCTTTTACAGCAACTCTCGTTTTGTGCAGCAGGCAATGCTCCTGAAGTTTATATACTTTTGCCTAACTGATATACAGCAATAATAGGCTTTTGATATTCTTTTCGCGCAACGAAGAGTTCACATTCATATTCGTATTCAGAGCGCTAAAGTACAATTATAAAAGTGCAATTACAAGTTTCCTATATAACAAAATAGCTGATTTTAATTCTACAATCATCAACCTGATCACCCAACAGTGTCAAAAGCTATTCAACAAATTATTACGGCAATAATATACATTGAGCTTTAAAGCAATGAAAAAAATTGACGAAAGTGAAAGTGATTAATTAATAAAAAGCATTTGAATTATTTATCAGCATAGTAACCGATTGCATTAGATCTTATGTTGATAATAGTACTGAGTTATTTGAAACATTATTATTATTTCATACTCAATTATTTTATTTTCTTAGGAGTAAAATGTAGGCAGTCTTGCTTATGTGTGAAAACGTTGTTTGAAGGTAAGTTTGACCGAAATTATGTTTTTTGAGTATGAAAAAATGAATGATAAATCATGATATTTTGCTCGCTCTCTGCAATATGTGCAAAAATAGTGACTACGTGGGGTAGCGCACATTCTAGCGCACATTCAACTGACTCTTCATCGCCGCTGATTAATCTGTGTGAACGACGCGGGACAGAGCAAACAAAACCACAGTAATATTTGTATGAAATAAAGGCAGTGTAGGATTAGTATTTCATGCTCGATTAATTTGTGTGTAGGTGCTTATGTATAAAGGAAAAAATTATTTTTCGACGTATATATAGGCAACATATTACTTTATTCATACTCATTCAACAACATTGATATATTACCTTGTGAATCTGGTATTGGACATACAAGGTTTTACAGGAATTCAACAAGTAAGTATATGTCTTTCGAAAGTGGATTCTCTTCAGAAAGTCTTTTTGTGGTCATGAGTATGGCACGGATTTTCTGCTGCTCAAGTAGAACCATTAGTGCTCTGCAGTATTACTCTCGTATTATTGCGACTGTTTTGATCGAACTGAAAGCATTTCGAAATTCTATACGGAATGAACAGTAGAGATTACTTACTACAAAGCTACTTTCCTCAAAAAGCTTCTACAAATTGGACTGTCAACCCGGTTTCTGATTGATAAGGTAGAAATACAATGAATTCAGTATTGTGTTCTTCTTTCATGCGAAAAGATTTTACGTGACTGTAAATAACACACGATGCGATGTTGAAAAAAAGAGCTCCACGATATTTTTATTGAAGGCGTTCTCTCTTAATTAGTATTTTGCGAAGATTGTGTTTACGATAATGCATTCAGACGGAATAGTTTCAACAGTACAATATCTAGTTTTCGTGATGTTATTTCGCGCTGTGTGATCGTGCTTGAAAGTATTGCGGAATGGTGTTCGAAAAATTAAAGTTCTAATATCATTCTTTGATAATGCCAACCGTGAATCGTTTATAGAAGTATAATCGATGTTGATATATTGGTGGAGTGTTCGGAGGAGTTGGTTTTCTTCGACAAACTACCAAATAAAATGAAATTTTCCTTGTATAAGAAATCTTCAGTTGCGGAGATCATAGTCTGAAATTTCATCATTCAGTTCATTTAACAATGATGTAATATTCACTTACTTTCTGTTCTGAAAAAATACGCTGCTCTTACCGGTCGATATCTACTAACCATAAAACTCCCGATAGACAGACATTTTTTCAGGCTGAACACTGAAGAGTTCAGCTGCTTGTTTGTGGAGAATATGAATAGTCTCATGTGCGCATTGACTTTTGCTTATATATTCTCATTAATTGGACTTAGTTAATGTAAGTTGCTGACAGTGATTGAAAAATGCTGGAATTGCTAAATTTGTAGTACTCAATGAAAGGAAGACGCTGGAAATTCAAAATCAAAGCAATGTTTTGTTGTTTTTTTTCTGACATATATTTAGATAGAGTATGACGAGCTGATCGAGAACATAGATGTTTTCAGTTTTTGGAATGAGTTTTTAGGATTTGAAATTTCAGTTTTTTCGATAGTCCACTTCTCATGAAAAATAGGTCAAATTTTTTCTCTCTTTCGGATTTCGTAACTGTTTCGTTTCAGACTCACCGTGAAAACCTGAATCGAGAACAGTCATTTATAAATGAGTTCCCTAAACTCGATTTTTCATGGTGCATCTGAAACCAAACAGTTTTGAAATTTGACGGAAGCAAACAAAATTAATTTTTTCTTGATAAAAACCAGGTAATTGAAAAAAACTGAAATTTGCCGCATAAAAACTCATTCCGAGGGAGAAACACTTACACTATATAAAATAATTTTTTGAACATCCTTTAACACTTGTCTTGTGAAGGAAAGTTTAGAACGAAGAAAAAAGATTTTCTCAACTCTTACTATATCATTCGACAGATTAAAGCTTTTATTGTATTGTACAAAAAAGATTTTTTCTCATAGAGATTTTCATCAATTTTCAGAAGGCTTCTTATAGACTGCTTGGTTTCCTATGAATCAAAAAAAGATTTTGGCACTAGTACAATTTGTCGCACGACAATTCGTCGCAAAACAATTCGTCGCACATGCATTGTAGAGAATACATTGATTGAATGAAGTAATTTAGTTTAAAATGTTATACAATTAATCGCCTTAAAAAAGAATTTTGTTTAGACTCATAAGAATCTTTTTTCATAACACAATGATTTTCTCAAAAATAAAATAGAGATATCAATTTAAAGCCTATTTTAAAATTTAATTAAAAAAATTGAAGTTTGATTTTGGATAAAATTCTATGTACACAAATTAAAAATAAAGTTCATTTTTCTTCAATTGAAATTTAACATTTTATTTAAAACGAAGCTGAAAATTAAAACAAAAATATAAAATTGAAAAAACAATTTTTCGAATCTAAATAAAAAAATTAAAGCTTTTTATTTATTGAAAGCATAAATTTTAATGAGAAAAAAAGAACTTTATTTCTAACTTGTCAACATGGAATTTTATTTAAAATCAACCTTTAGTTTCTTTTAACTAAGATTTGTAAAATTTCTTTTCGATTTTATATTTTTGTTTTAACTTTCAGCTTTTTTTTTGTGTAGATAGAATTTTATCCAAAATCAAACTTCAATTTTTTTAATTAAATTTTAAAATAGGCTTTAAATTGATATCTCTATTTTATTTTTGAGAAAATCATTGTATTATGAAAAAAGATTCTTATGAGTCTAAACAAAAATTTTTTTTAAGGCGATTAATTGTATAACATTTTAAACTAAATTACTTAATTCAATCAATGTATTCTCTACAATGCATGTGTGACGAATTGTACTAGTGCCGAATCGACATCTTTCGTTCGCTTTATTACCAGCGTAACGGAAAAACATTCTCTTTCTTCCAACCACTTCATCATTTTCAGAAAATGAATGTGACGACAGAACGAATCGGTTGTGATCAAACAAAACGCAAAAAAAAGCCATGTCATCGTCTCACTGCAAGTCATGATTTCATTTGAAAAACGGCATACAACTTGCTTTTGTCACCACAAAAGAGAAAACAACGAGAAAAATAAGTTTATTTACTATCTAACATTCAATCGTCAGCCTTAATTACCACGGAAGTAGCAAAACGACATGTGTACGTCGTTTGGATATAAATCGTTACCGTATGTACAAGGTGTAATTGCATTATTTGAGCTAGCACTCGGCATCGTACGAATATATATCTTTTTCTCGCCGAAAAATGCCGTTCCTCCGACCTCTGTATTCAGACCATCATCGACGAGTAATGGCTCGACCATAGAATCGCCTCTAATGTCCAACACACAGGTTAAGGCTGCGTTTGCACTCGACTGGATCGCATCAATTGTACCGACGTTCATGGGCATTTACATTGTTGTATTCATGGTGGTTGTGGGATGTAGTGCTCTTATGATATGCAAGTCCGTGACTAAAAGTGTGAAATCCGGAAACCGTGATGTCAAAGAATGTAGTGATTATTGTAAGCTCCCTTGTCTTATGTGTTTGAGCAAGCCCAATCATCGATGCGTGTCGCTAACTTGCAATTGTCCCTGTTACAAAGCACGCCCTAGTCTTCGTTTTCAAATTCGATTCGGTCTTTTGATTTTTTTCTTTCTTCTTCGATTCATCGCCATTATACTATATGCAACTGCCAAGGACGTGAGCGTCTACGGTGCAGAAATGGCAGTACTGTGCACTCTCTCTGTCGGACTCTTACTCCTTACGATGGGTCTCGATATGTATCAGTATCGAGTCTGGTGGCATTACAAACCAGATGGGATCTACGAGAAATGTCGTTGCTTGTGTTGCCAACAGCGTTTTCACAAAGCTCATGAACGTTTTGTTCCTATTCCGTTGCTCGGAAAATACCGCGACCCAAACACATTGGGTGATCGACCATGCAAGTACACTGTCTCTGGTGGTTGTCCAGATCGTTCACTTGAACATATTGTCTCATTTCATGCATTTGATTTCAAGCCTCTCGCGCGATTTCAACCTGGCAAGGATAAGACTTACATTGGTTTTCATCAAACAACAACGGAAGCTGCGATTGGTATTTCGCAGGAAGGCTTTCGAATCAGTAGTAGACCACCACAAATGCTAGGTTTTGGTGTTTACTTTGCACGTTCTTTTGCCGACACAGAGGGCAAAGCTCGTGCTACCGGTAAATAGTGTTATGCATAAAAAATAGATTCTCTCAATTAAAAACAATGCTATCATTTTATTATAGGTGCCTTTATCGTTGCCGAAATCGATATGGGCAGCGTTCGAATAATTGAGCTCCAACAGATCAACGAAGTAAGAAACACGGATTCATGGTGGAAAGATCATGATACAATTTACTACAAACACGTGGATGAGAATCGTGATGAATTTTGTATCAAAGATCCGAAGCAAATATTGAAATGGATCATGGTTATGGATGATACACGACTGTATCGATATGGGCTTGACCATGAATTTGATAACACACGCTGTGGCTGTATCTGAAGTATTGATCGATGCACTCCTTTCAAGTAATCACGTTCCATACAAGTTGATTCTGGTCTTACAATTAGCTCCTTCAACATTGACTGTGTATCGAATGTGTACAGAGAGAGTTTGCAAAATAAAAAATGATCTCTCTTAGAACTACAAATAACTACATCAAATTTTCGATTCATTCGGTCATGATAGGCTGTGTTCAAGATAGGGAAAAATAAACTACTCCATGAATTTGTTGAATAATAAACTGACGAGGGAACCGTTCCAAGTGATTCACGCCGATTTTGCTTATATTTTGCCCATATGTAGGGGTCAGTATGCTAAGAAAAAGCCTAAGAGGATTTGGGCCCATGTTGCTTCTTTCGA